TAGTTGATGCATGATGGCTACACAAGATGTCATTATGGAAAGGGTTGAGGAAAAGATTCATGAACAATTAAGTCCTGCTGATACATCACAGGAATTGTAAGCACGAGAAAGAGGAGGTTATTTCGAGAGGACTGTTAATCGATTGAGGTTGTCTATGACAACATGACTTCAAGACGAGCAGAAATGACTGATTTGAAAGGTGACTACAAGAAGTTAAATGGCACCGGCTCTTTGGCGTGGTATCAGGGAGTTTTATATATTCCCCTTGTTTAAGTAAACTAAATATGACAATGTAAATAATGACCTTGCTGTCAGCACAAATAAAATAAAAGCAGCTTGACCATTATCATCAGTGCCAGCATTACAGAGTCGTCTGTTTGTTAACAGAGTTAGACAATGGCCGGTTGGTATATATGGATGAGGTGCGAGGACCCACCTGGATACTGCACAGACCACAGCCCTGCCACATCACAGTCTGACCAGGAGTTGACCCTAATGGATAGATAAAGAAAACTTTGTATTACTCGGGACCTGTATGTATGTATGTATGTATGTATGTATGTATGTATGTATGTATGTATGTATGTATGTATGTATGTATGTATGTATGTATGTATGTATGTATGTGTGTATGTATGTGTGTGTGTGTGTGTGTGTATGTATGTATGTGTGTATGTATGTATATACACATGTATGTATGTATGTATGTATGTGTGTATGTATGTATGTATGTATGTATGTATGTATGTATGTATGTATGTATGCATGTGTGTATGTGTGTGTATGTGTGTGTGTGTATGCATGCGTGCGTGCGTGCGCATGCATGTATTAAACATAATACATCATTAGATTTGCCGGGTGAAAAACAGCCACCCCGGAGTTTCCCCGGGACATTATATACACACTGAATGTACATACTATAGATATGTATGTGTGTGTGTGTACTTATGACCAGATATTTCACGTGGGTCACCAAGACCAAGTTCAAATTGCACACATCTCATTGCTGTGTGTATATTGTTGTGTTTATAACTTGTTTTGAGTAGGATAGCATTTTAACATACTAGCCAGGTACTTTGACCTTAGAGTTCAGAACCCTTTTCTTCAAATAACTTTGCTTTCAGTGGCAATGTATTCAGTTCTCCATGTTGGTCACTGTAAATGGGAGAATAGGCCGGAGTGAAGTAGGTGTTAGACTTCAGACCGCACGAATGCTATACCTCTTTGGTTTCAGTGGCAATGTATTCAGTTCTCCATGTTGGTCACTGTAAATGGGAGAAAGTGAAGTAGGTGTTAGCACGAATGCTATACCTCTTTGGTTTCAGTGGCAATGTATTCAGTTCTCCATGTTGGTCACTGTAAATGGGAGAATAGGCCGGAGTGAAGTAGGTGTTAGACTTCAGACCGCACGAGCGCTATACCTCTTTGGTTTCAGCAACATCTAAAAATGGAAGCTGACAACTTCCGTCTCAATATTTGTTATTTTGTTTGGGTTATTTTTATTAGTTGGTTATCGCCAGCGACGCACATAACAATTGTGCGTTTTTATAGTTTCTATCACAATGAAATAATTTGTTAATCCTTATCATCTTTCCTGCTGGCACACACTCCTTCAAACCGAACGCTTTTACCAGTATGTATGGTTTTAATAATCTTGTACGTCAGTTGTCACTTTGAAAAACTTCCTCAAAGATTACGATTGTTGTACTCTTGTCGGTACATTTAGAATTGATAAATTCTTATCAATAATGAAATAACCTGTCAGTTATTTCTTGGATTCACATCCAACTTTTGGGGTCTCCAGAACATTCCACGGTGGGGTGCATCAGTGCTATAGAAATGTTGGAGAAGTGATGTCATAATGTTACATGGGTAGACATCAGTATTCCATATGAGATTCACTTGCATATGGTAACAGTAGTCTACATCACGTAAATGTAATGAAGTAGCAGAACTTCCCTATAAAACAAAATGATCGTTTCTTTGGCGTAAACTTGAACTTCAAATAAAGGTTGAGATGGCCAGAGTTATATTTACAACCAGTGTTGAGAAATGAGTATAGATGGTCTCAAAGTATATATGTCCGGCCAGCAAATCTCAGTGCACCTGAACACGAAGGCAAGGTACACCACAGGGTGTAAGACTAGGCTAATGCCTTTGAGTTGTATGAGCCTAGAGAGGCTCTCCATCACACAACAGATTAATGTCAACGTCAGTGAAAGATGGTAATAAGGCAAGTAGATTATTTTTGACTGAATTCCATAAAGTAGTAAGTTGATTATTTATAACATAACATGTACCTGTAGTGTTAAGTACATTTTTCCTTCAGTACATTGTGTGAATGTTTTGACTGTGGTGTGTATGTGTGTAATATAATTTATAAATACATGTTAATGAATGCAACCTGGCAATGAGTATCTGAGTCCTATCTGTTAGTACCATGTATACAGAACCATTCTCCTAGGGTGGATCATGTTGTGGACTTTGCTGTACATTTATGAGATCTCAAATGTTTCAGGGTGATTTTTGTGGATTCTGTGAATCAATATGACTGCCCTGCTGGTTACAGAAAATACAGTTTCGATGCTCATCTCCCGAAACCTACACTACTTGTCATTTTGCTTAAACTTGTAGCTAGCTGTCAACGTAGATTTTGTACGTGCAGTAAATCTATGTGGGCTGCGCTGCTAGCACAAACGCTGGGAATTTTGAATAATTCAATTCTGAATATTGAACAGAACAGTTAAAAATATCTTCAGTGAACGTGTTTTGGCAAAATGTACTTTTTTCACATTAGCGGGAGGACTATCTTGCAGTGTAGTAGTGGGCCTGAGAACTTGCAGAGCATACATGTGGCTACAGTGCATAGAACTATCACGTGATGCTTATAATCTCTAGTATTTTCTGAGGAAAACATATCAACCCAACATTGGTTGGACATTTGATGAAATTCGACTTTAAACATCACGAGGTTTAAGAGAGTGTTCTGCTACAATTAACACAGTTAATGGGAGACAAATTAACTAAGGCATGACATGACCTGGCAAGACCTAGAAACCCAACTTTTAACTTGTTTCAGGGTGTACCTACTTTATCAGCCCAGTTAACCGGCAACTATCTGTCATGGCTGTCCAAAGTGCAGCTTTACACTGTGTGTCAAAAGTACCGTACATTGTATTTTATTAGTGACGAGTTCAACCACAAATATCAATTTTCTTTATGAATAGTAATGATTATGCTTCTATCAGTCATGAAACCATCAACTGATCGTTTGATTGTCTGACAGTTTGAGGTTTGTGTCGTGAAATCAACAACTATTTGTTTACATTAGACCAGCGCGTCCTAATTGCAGTTCTATAGCAGCAAGAGGCGAACGTCACGTATAATGGGGCATGCCCTCACGCTAGATCGTGTACAATGTAAACGGGTGGGTAAGTCTGTCTCACAGTCCCTCAACCATATCATTTTCCCTACAGCATAGCCACAGTTGTGTCAAAAACACACTTCAGTTTATCCAAAAGAGCAAAAAGATGGATCTTTGTTACGCAAAGATAACGATTTTCCACGCAGTATGTACTGTACCTCCTGCAAGTCACAATGCTATCACTTCGATGCACAAATAACATAACATGCATCCAGCATTCGTTTACTTTGAAAATATTAACAGAACTGATACAAGGAACACTGTACAAAACACTATCATATTTGTCCATTTCATGTCAAACATTTCTATGTACATAATTTTCAGTGGAAACTATCCTCCTGGGCTTCTTAACCAGAAAGGAGGTAGGGTAGTCTAGTGGTTAAAGCGTTCACTCGTCACGCCGACGGGACAGGTTCGATTTCTAACATGGGTACAATGTGTGAAACCCATTCCTGGTGCCCCCGCCGTGAAATTGCTGGAATATTGCTAAAAGCGGCGTAAAACCCAACTCACTCACTCACATACTCTCAAATAAAGCGAGGCTGTTTTATGGATGCCGACGTTTCTGTATTACGGCTGTTGTGGTGTTTCAATGTGACCGGACCTTTAGAAGATCTATAAGTCCATCGAGTCCATCGCGTCATCAATATATTCATGATCAATGTTATGTTAACAATGCATGTATTGAACGACCACTGTCTGGTTTCCAGACGAGTGAACTCAATACACCAGTAGTATTATATGCTCTTTAAAAAGTATTCTTCATTTTTAATTTACGATTGCAAAAACTTGGAGATATATTGGAGTCTATCAATGTTGACATGATAACAATGAATGTTTTGAGAGTACATCATCATGTGTACTTCCATATTGCCATAGTTGTTTGTACATCTCTTGGAAGATGATAGGTGTATGCCGTAAAATTTGCATATGTACGATTTTCAATTTCAAAAAGCGGATAGAAACAAACACAAACAACTGTGTAATGCAAAAATAAATGTCAAAATTAATGGTCCATAGATATTGGCCTTCTTGAAAACCGTCAAAATCAATAATGACACCCAATGCACGTGCATGGGGGCTACTGTGTTGTGCACGTACATCCAATGCGTTGTGTTTAGAGGTGACGATAAAGAAAACGGTGATGCATTCATAAGACATCTAGCTGTCTTTGAAAAGTTTGTTAACGCTTTTACTTCCTATCCAAATAAACAGTTCGGGTTCCCCTACTTTTTTGGAAGAGTATATATCTGTTTCTTGCTGCAAATCATCATGTACACAATAGTTTGTGTTGTCATGGTATGTTTGCATTGAACATTTTTCATATTTGACAAAGATTTAACCACTGTGAGGCTTTTACCTTTGACAAATGGCTGAACTATGATACTTTTCGGCAAATAAAAATTCTGTTAAAGGACTCTCAGCTGTAAAAGGGGAGGCCATTTATCACATAGCATTACACAAGACAGGGAGAATGATGCTTCGTGTCAGGAAGGGGGATGTGCTATAAAATGATCCTGGTCCGTAGAAAGCAACCATTTACACTCCCACAACTCGCGGTGGTCGGCCTGACGAAATCACAATGACTCTGTTAGCGTTACTTCTTGCTGGGCTGGCAACAACTGCACTTGGCAGCATCTGCTGTCCCCCGTTGCAGTGGGAGGCATACCAGTTCGTCACACTTGTTGAACCCAGCCGAACATATGAGGTATGTAGCCACGAAGTATTGAGTGTGTGTGTGTGTGTGTGTGTCTGCGATTTCAAGAGCAACACGAGTCTATTAGGGTCGTGCCTTTTTTAGAGATCGTTCCTCGCATCGTAAATACGGTACTCCCCCCGGCCCCGCTAATTGCATGAGAATCCTACACCTTTAAAGAACTTCACCCTGAGTCCAAATCCAAAAAAAATAAAATTAAGTATATGATCTATGCATATGATTTTACTTGATGTTGCTCTGGCTCCTGTTATTTGGCAGCACCCGTATCTTCACCCATGATGGTAGATGAAACTGGCTCCTGTTATTTGGCAGCACCCGTGTCTATATCCATGATGGTAGAAGTCGGTGTCTCTCATTGCTACCCATCGGCTGTCTCTATTTTGCTTCCAAATGTTCTATTCACTGGGTCCGGTTGCTGTCATGGTTCTATTGCCTGACCATTATTAGAAAGTATTCATGTCTTACTTCCTATTACGTAGGGTCCGACCTGAAGTAACAAATATCGAACTTCACTGGCCATGGTTTATTGACACAATTATATTACTGTTTGTTCCAGAATCTGCTGTGGTTTATGATATGAAGTTTTTCGTTGTAAGCTCTGAGTGAACACCATCTGACTGTAAACAAACAGTTTTTAATTAAACAGGATGGTTTTTTTCAATAAAACAATTTAACTGCATCAAGTGTACAAATAGACTTTATGCGATGAATATTTCTTCTTGACCTCAACGCCATCTTCATAATTGCACACAATTTATACATATGTATTCATTTTGACTAAATATTTCATGAATTACATATTGTGCTGAATTCAGGATATTGATATTTGTCTGATCAAGGATAATGCATTAAGATATGATATTGAGATTTTAAAAAGAAATCATTATAGCCGGTTAGGTACACAGTCGTGAACATTCCGCCATGGCAACGTGAGCAGTGGCATTCCTCGTGACGACTGACTTATTGACTCTTTAATCATGCAACTGTTGTTACATTTTACAAACTAAAACTAAATTATATTTTTATCACAATTTGTTTTAAGAACATGCTAATGACGCATATAAATGTAACTATCTGATTTTTCACGTGGATCATGTGAAAAGGTTTGGGGACGATTAACTTAAAGGCTAAAGATACAATATATTTGTTCTTGTATTTAAACTTGAAGGGCCTACAATCTGTGTCCTATGACGCTCTGAACGGAAGGTACGCTGTCGAAGGCAACTACACTAGTGGTGACACCAACACCTTCAAGGTGATCTACGACTACAACAAGGTAAGAGGTTAAACCTGTATATTTCTCTCTTCCTTCCCCTTGTCCCCATACTACTACTACTACCACTACTACTACTACTACCACCACTGTTGCTGCGGACTACTACTCACTACTACTGCTACTACCACTACTACTACTACTACCGTTGCTGCTGCCACCACTACTCACTACTCACTCTACTACTACTACTATCACTGCTGCGGCTACTACTACTACTACTACTACTACTACTACTACTACCTGCACCACTACTCACTTCTACTCACTACCACTACTACTATTGCTACCACCACCACTACCTACTACTACCACTCACTACCACTGTGTGTACTCATTGATATTGGGGAGTGGTAACTAGGAAAGTGTACTACTCACGTGGATACTGCTACTCACCACCACCACCACCTTCCTACACCACTAAAGAGAGGTAACCACTACCTGACCTGCATTCTGCATGTACAAAGTTGGGAACGTGGATGAATGGAGAGAGTAACGACGTACGCCGTGATGCTGGCCAGTTGTACAATTCATTGCAATTGTCTTGAAAACCAATCTTCAGGAAGCATTACCGAAAAGTAGCATCAGTACCATACTGGCTGATAAACGAAAGCGCCAATCCATCTTGCATTGATATTGGGGAGGGTATAGGAAAGGCATCGACCTACAAAGGGGAACTGTGTAGCCGTACGCCCCATGTACAAATGTTTGTCTATCTTGAAGCATTTTAGCATCAAATCTGTCCAAAATGTGAAATCACTAGCAATCTTGGTTTTTTGTGAAATAGATAGCATTTTTTAAATACACAGGCATTAATTTGTTTGACACTACATAGTGCAATGTCAATAGTGTTATCCTGTACTGTGTATTGAAACTAAGATACCACAATGCCTTGACAGAGAAAATGTTCATAGTCTATTGCTGTCATAGATTCATGTACATTGAGACCTGTCTAAACCGGCACCCCACAGAACCAAAAAATTAAATACCGGTTTAGACAGGGTGTCGGATTAGCCAGTAACGATCATTTTCCAACATGGCTGCCATTTACACTCGTCAATCTCTCATTGCTAAGTTCGACGCCATGGCCATGGGAAGGGGCATTGTCCATGAACTCGTCAATCTCTCATTGCTAAGTGTCGACGCCATGGCCATGGAGGGGCATTGTCCATGAACTCGTCAATCTCTCATTGCTAAGGTCGACGCCATGGCCATGGGAAGGGGCATTGTCCATGAACTCGTCAATCTCTCATTGCTAAGGTCGACGCCATGGCCATGGGAAGGGGCATTGTCCATGAACTCGTCAATCTCTCATTGCTAAGGTCGACGCCATGGCCATGGGAAGGGGCATTGTCCATGAACAAGGCAATCTCTCATTGCTAAGGTCGACGCCATGGCCATGGGAAGGGGCATTGTCCATGAACTCGTCAATCTCTCATTGCTAAGGTCGACGCCATGGCCATGGAAGGGGCATTGTCCATGAACAAGGCAATCTCTCATTGCTAAGTTCGACGCCATGGCCATGGGAAGGGGCATTGTCCATGAACTCGTCAATCTCTCATTGCTAAGGTCGACGCCATGGCCATGGAAGGGCATTGTCCATGAACAAGGAATTGTCCATGAACTCTCATTGCTAAGTTCGACGCCATGGCCATGGGAAGGGGCATTGTCCATGAACTCGTCAATCTCTCATTGCTAAGTTCGACGCCATGGCCATGGGAAGGGGCATTGTCCATGAACTCGTCAATCTTTGTTTCCTCGTCTGCCTGTTTAGCTGCTCCAACCAACCGAGAGGAGTGTATTGGATTATGGGTCCTTGATTGGACTGCTCATACCCATGGCAGTTTAGACAGTGTTAATTACAGTTAAAGGACTTATATATTTCGTGAAAGGACTTGGGAAGTTGAGTAGGGTAAAAGAATGCCAGAAAAAATTACATCCGTTGATCAAGGGAACATGTACTAGTTGCGTGGATATGTGCGCTGCATAAATATCCTATAATATAAAAAGACGAACATACAAACGTTGTGCCCTATCATGGCGGTAGTAGTTACACGTTATTATTACTACAAAGAACGAAAAAGCTCATCGTTGACAATTTAAACAGGAGTTTGTAGCTGAAAGACACATTATTCCATAGAGGTGTGTTACTGTAATACTAGTTATTTATGGTCAATGGAAAAGTTTTAAAATATCAAAATAAGTATTCTTATATGAAGGTAGTGCTCCAATTCTCAATATGGAAATTCAAGGTCTTGCATCTCTAAATTCTAATGTTGTTTAATGGTTAAATACAATTTATCGGTGTAATAGTTGAATAAGTATGTAGGAATGGACAATTCTACAATTTTGTTTTACATTGATTGTATGCGACAATCACTTGTCCTGAGATGAAATTCTTTCGAGAACATTGCATCATTGTGAACGCCTTACTGGTTTACAAATTAAAAGTACAAACAGTAAAGGGTTTAAATGCAGCCTTGACACACTCAGCTCAAGTAATCAAAATCTTCAGACAGGCTGAACTTAATAGTTGCTTTTGTCTTGGAATACATGCCCGCTATACTATATAAGTGTGAAGATGTCAATCCTGCAATATCCCTCCTCAAAACCTCCTTTAAAAGCTTATTTATAATATAAGTTAATAACGTAACACATATAATAAGAGGCAAAATTTATTTTGACATAGATTTTTTCATTGGTAATCTTGTGACTTAATTTTTGGATTTGAACCAGAGAGAGAGTTATTAAAATGGTCAAAGAAAAAAAAGTAAATGTTGTTCGAACCTGGCTTATGACATGATATAATAGAGACATATGGTCTGCAATGTTCACATACAAAGGCCAGAAAACCAGACGCTTATTGTTTCCACTCAGTGTAGCCGTAAGAGTCCAGAAGTCAGACAAATAGCTCTCTGGAAAAGGTTCGACGTGCAACGCCCTGAAAACGACACATGGAGAACTAGAGGAATGCTTCAGTACATACTTGCAGCGTGACGCTTACGTCGATTCAACGCTAAGAGAAACACCATTGGCACCTATGTAAACGTTTCCAACAAAATGACCCATTTATAGACCGTCCCCGTAGTGGCCGCCCACCAGTAACCTCCCGACGATGGATTTGAACCACGCACCTCTGACACACGTTGCTGCAAGCCCTGCCGTACATACCTGGCAATAGAGCTGTATCTACTAGAACAGCGACATCTCCAGTGGACCAGGCACGCCAGTGGAGAAGAGTTCTCTTCACGTTTCCTTCTTCGTCGAGCTAACTTCAGAACACGTGTCAAAAGGCACACAGGCGAACGTGTTCTGTAAGGGCATCGATTTAGAGGCAGATGCGTTATGGTCTGGAGTGGGAAAATGGCTGCAGCAAAGACTGGGATTGAGGGGAACTTAAATGCTTTGAGGTACCGAGATGTGGTTTTGCAAATCGCCGCTTTACCGTTTTTGCAACAGAACGACTCTGGGGCGACGTTTCAACACAATGGCACCTTGCTCGAGTTGTACAGCAGTATCTAAACTGAGCACTGTTAATGTGTTACCCTGGTCAGCAAGATCCCTTGATTTGTCATCCATCGAACACGTCTGGGATGAAACAGAGCTAGGAACTCCATCAAATCCTTCCTCGGATATGGAATGATCTTCCCCAGAACGTTCATTTAGTGAGTTCAATGACTCGAAGGTGACAGGCAATAGAATAATTAGAATTGAAAATATTTTTACTTGTATAGCTTCGAATTTCCAGGCTAGGCCTGCTCAACGGCGCTTTTGGGGAAAGCAGTGGAAAAGAGTTAATGGCTAAACAAAAATGTTTTTGAGACTTCTTGAAGGATTGAACAGAGTCCACAGATTTGCAGTCCATTGGGATGGAGTTCCAGAGTCGAGGAGCATATACAGAAAAGGCATTTTCAGCGATATGAGTAGACGTTGATGGGCTGGAGAGTTGCTGCTTGGTTGAGGATCTGAGAGTTCTTGTGGGCTGGTACAGATTAATAAGGTCTTTGGGATACTGTCATGAGGAGTCCACATTAAGTGTGTAGTACGTGATACGATGCTTAACAGGAAGCCAGTGGAGTTGCCTTAGGATGGGTGAGATGTGTTTAGTTGGGCGAGTACGGGTGATTATTCGCTGCTTTGTTCTGAATTCGTGGAAGGTGCGAGATGACAGTTGATCCGGAAAACATGGAGTCACCATAATCTAATCTTGATGTGGCAAAGGAATTTATGAGGGTTTTGCAAGTGTCCGTATCAATGTACTTGTGGATTTTCCTCAATGCACAAGATTAACTCTGCACCGACTTTGTGTTCGTTTACATGCCAGGTGCTGTGTACTTATGAACTGCTGATCCTCACTATATCATAAACACTGACATCCATACAACAACAACCAACAAGAGTTCCTCAAGGGGAGACGTTACATCAGGAAATGTAGGCGCAACTCGTTCTGTTTCTGGCGACCTGGCAATGCGGCGTTAAATATCAATATAGGCCAAAATGATAGGCGACACGACAGGGCCCGGGTCTCCAAGCAGTCTAAGTAAACTTAGGCTTAGTATTATTCGTTACACTGCTATACTGAGTCTAACAAACCCTAGTAGAAGGTCGCGGCAGGTAACCTCTCAGCAACCTAAAACCGTCCAACCAAATATTGTTCGGATTTAACCAATCAAACAACGGCTACTGTTTAGGGTTCGGCGGGACTTACAAAATTCCCTGGTCACTGACACTGATCTCTTAACAAACGATATTCCGCATAAAACACAGATATTTTACCTGCAGTATATTCGCTTAGGGCTTTCTGATATATGGTTACCATTAGCTAATATTTCCGCAAGCTGACACTGTGGAATATTGACAAAAAGCTATTTTCATCAATTGTTTACTCACTGTTGTGGCGTGCTCCATGTGCATCACTCGGAAGCGATCGTACGGAAAATAGCATTCGGAATCGTTCGGGTACAAACATTTTCGAGGTAAAAGTTCAAAAGGAATGTGCGAATCTCAACTCAGTATAAGCAGTGTAGTGAATAATACTCAGCCTAAGTTTACGTAGACTGGGTCTTCAAGCGTCTGTTGCTGCGGCTGGGGATGGAGATGTAGTGGAACAGGGTGTCGTCACAAGTCATAGAACTCATTATTGTTGCTTTCAGTTTGAATCGTGACGCTACCGGGTCAACATCTTGCGTGATCATTCTATTCCTGTGCAAATGCAGGAACTTAATGTCAACTTAATGTCAAGTTAATGTCAAGTTACAGCGGGACAATGACGAATGAACAAACAGGTTGTAGTCAATTTCAAAAGAATAAAACATTTCATACTTTCAGAATAGTCATGGTTACATCATTACGTTTATATTTATTTAGAAAGTATTTACCAAAGTTATCTACAACACAGCCAATGGCGAAAAGAAGACGACTTAAGTAATCAATAAAGAAATCCCACACGGAACTGCAGTGAGCCGGGCTGTTTTCATGATATCATTTTAAACAAAATTTGTTTGGTGCCACTTCTGACGTCACCTCAGAACAAACCACAAATATTTCCCCTTTCTCAGACAGAGTATCGAAGAGATGAGCTTGAGATTAATTCCATTTTACAGTCTATCCATTACAGGGAATATATCATGATATCATCTTCTAAACATCTTAGCAAAACCTACAGCATTCATCTTTGAAAGAATCAGAATCTTGCCATATTTTATGTCTGTCACCATTGAAGGGGGTTGATGTAGTGTAAAATGGTTGTACTCTGAAAAGGGTATGTAACACGACTTTCAAATAATGTTACTGCCACGGAATATTTGTTCTTATAATTATGACCTAAAACCTGAAGGGTAATTACTCCTGCTTAGGTCCATGCAAGTAGCAGCTATACTTTAACTCACATTGTCGTGATCTAACTTCAGTTGCTGGCGATCTATAGTCTGTCATGTATTGTTAAATATTGCGATGTTTATGCGATGTAACAGAATTTTATAACATCTAAAACTATTTATCAATAATGTCACACATGACACCAAGTTCGATGTTTCAGAAAGTGGGCTACCGCATTAACCCCGAGACGAGACTCTGCGAGACTTTCGCCATAAAAGAAGCGTTCCAGGACACATGTGTCCCAGGTAATTACAAGAATCTACAATGTTTACATAACATGCACGTGTATGTATGGACTGACACAAAGATCGACCTCAGTGTCTGCCAGGTACGTACAGGTGTGTGATGACATGACTTTCTACCTCAGTGTCTACCAGGTACGTACAGGTGTGTAACAAACGTGACCGTCGACCTCAGTGTCTACCAGATACGTACAGTTATGTGATGACATGACTGTGGACCTCAGTGTCTGCCAGGCACGTACAGGTGTGTAATGACATGACGGTCGACCTCAGTGTCTACCAGGTATGAACAGGTGTGTATTGACATGACGGTGGACCTCTGTGTCTACCAGATACGTACAGGTGTTTGATGACATGACGGACTACCTCAGTGTCTACCAGGCACGTACAGGTATGTGATGACATGACGGTGATGACATGACGGTGATGACATGACGGACTACCTCACTACCAGGATACGTACAGGTGTGTGATGACATGACGGACTACCTCCTGTGTCTACCAGGCACGTACAGGTATGTGTGATGATGATATGACGGTCTACCAGGCACGTACAGGTATGTGATGATATGACGGTGGACCTCAGTGTCTACGGGTGTGTAATAACATGGCGGTCGACCTCTGTGTCTACTAGGTATGTAAAGGTGTGTGATGATATGACGGTCGACCTCTACGACCCCCATGCGCCTTGAACATGCTGCAAGCGTGTAAATGACCGCATTATAAATGTGCACTGTTATTATTCTTAGGTACGTACAGGTGTTAAACATCACAGGTACATGTATCTGATGTGGTCTGACATCACGCGCGTACTTAGTGTCCCACAGGTAAGCTTAGGCATGGACTGACATCACAGGTCACCTCATTGTTTGCTGATAACGTCAAACAATAGGACATGCACTGACAAGATGGACTACCTCATTGTGTGCTCTGAACGTCAAACAAACAGACAAGCACTCACAAGACAGGGTGACCTCACTGTGTGTTGTGAGCGTCAAACAACAGACATGCACTCACAAGACGGATGACCACATTGTGAGCTCTGAACGTCAAACAACAGACAAGCACTGACAAGACGGGTTACCACATTGTGTGCTCTGAACGTCAAACAACAGACATGCACTCACAAGACGGGTGACCACATTGCGTGCTCTGAACGTCAAACAACAAACAAGCACTGACAAGACGGGTGACCACATTATGTGCTCTGAACGTCAAACAACAGACATGTGCTGACAAGACGGGTTACCTTACTGTGTGTTGTGAACGTCAAACAACAGACATGCGCTGACAAGACGGGTTACCTCACTGTGTTTTGTGAACGTCAAACAACAGACATGCACTCACAAGACGGGTCTCCTCATTATGTGCTCTGAGCGTCAAACAACAGACAAGCACTCACAAGACGGGTGACCTCATTGTGTGCTGTGAACGTCAAACAACAGACAAGTGCTGACAAGACGGGTGATCTCATTGTGTGTTGTGAACGTCAAACAACAGACAAGCACTGACAAGACGGGTGATCTCATTGTGTGTTGTGAACGTCAAACAACAGACAAGCACTCACAAGACGGGTGATCTCATTGTGTGCTGTGAGCGTCAAACAACAGACAAGCACTCACAAGACAGACAACGTCAAACAACAGACAAGTGCTGACAAGACGGGTGATCTCATTGTGTGTTGTGAACGTCAAACAACAGACAATCACTGACAAGACGGGTCTCCTCATTATGTGCTCTGAACGTCAAACAACAGACATGCACTCACAAGACGGGTGACCTCATTATGTGCTCTGAGCGTCAAACAACAGACAAGCACTCACAAGACGGGTCTCCTCATTATGTGCTGTGAACGTCAAACAACAGACAAGCACTGACAAGACGGTTGATCTCCTTGTGTATTGTGAGCTTCAAACAACAGAAATGCACTCACAAGGCAGGTGACCTCATTGTGTGTTGTGAACGTCAAACAACACACATGCACTGATAAGACGGGTGGCGATCGTGTTTGAAGTACAGGGCAGAGATTGTGTGAATAATTGTTTTGTTCATTAAAGGGCACATAGATGACAAATCAGATTAGAGTCAATTAATTAATTTCCCTTGTTTTTTTAAGCACAGTTCCTAACATAACCAGAACAGGAACGTGTCACAGCATAGCATCATAACCAAGCCCTTTGATATCGCTCAGATGGTGCCTATCTAATGGGACCTTTCGCCTTCGGGTTTGGTACAAAGGTCATTGACACCAGGGGATACAGCTACGCCAGAACCAAAGATGGCCTCACCTCCAAGTTCACAGCCATCGTGTCAGATGACACATGTGTCCCTGTAATCATACATAGGGTCACATTGACCAGTGCAGGTAGGTGCACACACGCAACAAACTCACTCACTCACAAGATCACCTTGACCAGTGCCGGTAGGTGCACACATGCAACAAACTCACTCACTCACAAGATCACCTTGACCAGTGCCGGTAGGTGCACACATGCAACAAACTCACTCACTCACAAGGTCACCTTGACCAGTGTCGGGAGGTGCACACACGCAACAAACTCACTCACTCACAAGGTCACCTTGCAGCTTGACCAGTGCCGGGAGGTGCAAGCACGCAACAAACTCACTCACTCACAAGGTCACCTTGACCAGTGAAGGTAGGTGCACACATGCAACAAACTCACTCACTCACAAGATCACCTTGACTAGTGCCGGGAGGTGCACACACGCAACAAACACACTCACTCACAAGGTCACCTTGACAAGTGCCGGGGGTGCAAACACGCAACAAACTCACTCACAAGGTCACCTTGACCAGTGAAGGTAGGTGCACACATGCAGCAAACTCACTCACTCACAAGATCACCTTGACTAGTGCCGGGAGGTGCACACATGCAACAAACACACTCACTCACAAGGTCACCTTGACTAGTGCCGGGAGGTGCACACACGGAACAAACTCACTCACTCACAAGGTCACCTTGACCAGTGCCGATAGGTGCACACATGCAGCAAACTCACTCACTCACAAGATCACCTTGACCAGTGCAGGTAGGTGCACACATGCAACAAACTCACTCACTCACAAGGTCACCTTGACCAGTGCCGGTATGTGCACACACGCAACAAACTCACTCACTAACAAGGTCACCTTGACCAGCGCCGATATGTGCACACACGCACTCAAAATGTTATTGAATGTTTCTAACCAAGTATTGGTCCCTCCAGTAAATCATGTTCACAACATTTGCTACTACCAGACCTGCGCCTGGTGCTGCTTCCACGCTCACCACACGATGTTTGAACCACGCGAGTTTGTTTGTTTGTTTGTAGTTGTTTAACACCGCACTTAGCAATATCCCAGATATATAACAGTTTTCCGAAAATAATCGATTATGAACCTGGCAATCCAGAGATTGACATCATGAGCATCAATCTACGCAATTCGATATCCGAGTTTATTAACAGCATTAGATTCCAGGGCCCAATACTAATCATCTGTGGGTGTATTTTAGGTAACTCTTTTTTGTCCACCGGCTACAACAACATCTTCCCCGGGATCCGAGACAACACTATCTTCTCCCCTCCGCCCTACTGTGGGAAGGGCAAAGCTGAGGTAAGAACATAACAACGCGCATTATCCGTTATGCTCTATCGATAATTACATTATTTGAGTAAATTATCAATCCTTCGACTGTCAGTGATAGAAATGTCGTTTGGGTGTATAGAAACGATGGCTGTATGCTATAATCAGATAAAGATTACTGTAACAAGATAATTAGTATATCAGTATGACGTGATTTACCAAGTGAAGTGACCACTGGGCATTTCCATCTGCACATGTGCAGGCCATTCTTGATATTCGTAATCTCTCTTTGTCTTCCAGGGAGCGAACAACACCTTCAACAAGCCTCTACCTAGCTTCAAAGTGGTCCACGTTTAAGCCATCTACATACGTTTTTAACAAACGCCTGTTGTTCTTTTGTGTTGATCACTTTATTTGCAAAACATATTTCGCTAATATTTATCAATTAAAGTTTAACATTTTTTCTGTTTCCACATATCAACTTCTGTATCATGTTATATCGTCAAATAAAAAAGTAAATTATAAAATGTATGTTTTTTCTTATTGTTGTTCTAGCTGCTCTTATTGTTGTGGTCGCTCAAGTTGTTGTGGCCGTTTAAGTTCTTGTGGTCGCTCAAGTTGTTGTGGTCGCTCAAGTTGTTATAGCAGCTCAAGTTGTTATAGCAGCTCAAGTTGTTCTAGCAGCTCTAGTTGTTCTAGCAGCTCAAGTTGTTCTAGCAGCTCTAGTTGTTCTAGCAGCTCTAGTTGTTCTAGCAGCTCAAGTTGTTCTAGCAGCTCAAGTTGTTCTAGCAGCTCTAGTTGTTCTAGCAGCTCTAGTTGTTCTAGCAGCTCAAGTTGTTCTAGCAGCTCTAGTTGTTGTTCTAGCAGCTCTCTAGTTGTTCTAGCAGCTCAAGTTGTTCTAGCAGCTCTAGTTGTTCTAGCAGCTCTAGTTGTTCTAGCAGCTCAAGTTGTTCTAGCAGCTCTAGTTGTTCTAGCAGTTCAAGTTGTTCTAGCAGCTCCAGTTGTTCTAGCAGCTCTAGTTGTTCTAGGAGCTCAAGTTGTTCCAGCAGCTCTAGTTGTTGTAGGAGCTCTAGTTGTTCTGGCAGCTCTAGTTGTTATGGCAACTCTAGTTGTTTTAGCAGCTCTATTAGTTCTGGCAACTCCAGTTCTTCTGGCAGCTCTGGTTGTTGTAGCAGCTCTAGTTGTTCTAGCAGCTCTAGTTGTTCTAGCAGCTCTAGTTGTTCTGGCAGCTCTATTTGTTCTAGCAGCTCTAGTAGTTCTGGCAGCTCCAGTTGTTCTGGCAGCTCTAGTTGTTCTAGCAGCTCTAGCAGTTCTAGCAGCTGTAGTTGTTCTGGCCGCTCTAGCAGTTCTAGCAGCTCTAGTTGTTCTAGCTGCTCCAGTTGTTCTAGCCGCTCTAGTTGTTCTAGGAGCTCTAGTTGTTCTAGCCGCTCTAGTTATTCTAGCAGCTCTAGTAGTTCAAGCAACTCTAGTTGTTCTAGCAGCTCTAGTTGTTCTAGCAGCCCTAGTTGTTCTAGCAGCTCTAGTTGTTCTAGCAACTCTAGTTGTTCTAGCAGCTCTAGTTGTTCTAGCAGCCCTAGTTGTTCTGGCAGCTCTAGTTGTTCTAGCAGCTCTAGTTGTTATATTCGCTGTAGTTGTTCTAGCAGCTCTAGTTGTTCTAGCAGCTCTGGTTGTTGTAGCAGCTCTAGTTGTTCTAGCAACTCTAGTTGTTCTAGCAGCTCTAGTAGTTCTAGCAGCTCTAGTTCTTCTGGCAGCTCTATTTGTTCTAGCAGCTCTAGTAGTTCTGGCAGCTCCAGTTGTTCTGGCAGCTCTAGTTGTTCTGGCAGCTCTAGCAGTTCTAGCAGCTGTAGTTGTTCTGGCCGCTCTAGCAGTTCTAGCAGCTGTAGTTGTTCTAGCTGCTCCAGTTGTTCTAGCCGCTCTAGTTGTTCTAGGAGCTCAAGTTGTTCTAGCCGCTCTAGTTATTCTAGCAGCTCTAGTAGTTCAAGCAACTCTAGTTGTTCTAGCAGCTCTAGTTGTTCTAGCAGCCCTAGTTGTTCTAGCAGCTCTAGTTGTTCTAGCAGCTCTAGTTGTTCTAGCAGCTCTAGTTGTTCTAGCAGCCCTGGTTGTTGTAGCAGCTCTAGTTGTTATATTCGCTGTAGTTGTTCTAGCAGCTCTAGTTGTTCTAGCAGCTCTGGTTGTTGTAGCAGCTCTGGTTGTTCTAGCAGCTCTAGTTGTTATATTCGCTGTAGTTGTTCTAGCAGCTCTAGTTGTTCTAGCAGCTCTGGTTGTTGTAGCAGCTCTAGTTGTTCTAGCAGCTCTTGTTGTTCTAGCAGCTCTAGTTGTTCTAGCAGCTCTAGTTGTTCTAGCAACTCTAGTTGTTCTAGCAGCTCTAGTTGTTCTAGCAGCCCTAGTTGTTCTGGCAGCTCTAGTTGTTCTAGCAGCTCTAGTTGTTCTGGTCGCTCAAGTTGTTGTAGCAGCTCTAGTTGTTGTGGTCGCTCAAGTTGTTCCAGCAGCTCTAGTTGTTGTAGCAGCTCTAGTTGTTCTGGCAGCTCAAGTTGTTATGGCAACTCTAGATGTTTTAGCAGCTCTATTAGTTCTGGCAACTCTAGTTCTTCTGGCAGCTCTGGTTGTTGTAGCAGCTCTAGTTGTTCTAGCAACTCTAGTTGTTCTAGCAGCTCTAGTTGTTCTAGCAGCTCTAGTTGTTCTAGCAGCTCTAGTTGTTCTGGCAGCTCTAGTTGTTCTGGCAGCTCTAGTTGTTGTAGCAGCTCCAGTTGTTCTGGCAGCTCTAGTTGTTCTGGCAGCAGTTGTTCTGGCAGCTCTAGTTGTTCTAGCAGCTCTAGTTGTTCTAGCAGCTCTAGTTGTTCTAGCAGCTCCAGTTGTTCTAGCAGCTCTAGTTGTTCTAGCAGCTGTAGTTTTTGTAGCAGCTCTAGTTCATCTAGCAGTTCTAGTTGTTGGTTTTCTTGTCACTCCAGTTCTTCAACTCTTGCAAGCTGGTTGATAATTCAATAAAGGAACTTTTAATATTGTTCGACCGCATATAGATTTGGGCAACATTATTCCCGAAATCGAACGAGTATCACGCATACGCAGAAACACTAATGCCCACTCAGGTTGCCCAGTCGGCACACTGTCATAGATACATTACCATAGGCACACTGTCATAGATGCATTACCATAGGCACACTGTCATAGATGCATTACCATAGGCACACTGTCATAGATGCATTACCATATGCACACTGTCATAGATACATTACCATAGGCACACTGTCATAGATGCATTACCATAGGCACAGTCATAGATGCATTACCATAGGCACACTGTCATAGATGCATTAGCATAGGCACACTGTCATAGATACATTACCATAGGCACACTGTCATAGATGCATTACCATAGGCACCCTATCATAGACGCATTACCATAGGCACACTATCATAGATACATTATCATAGGCACACTGTTATAGACGCATTACCATAGGCACACTGTTATAGGCTTATTACCATACGCACTCTACCATAGATGCATTACCATAGGCACACAGTCATTGGTTCATTGCCATAGGCACATTGTTATAGATTCATTACCATAGGCACACTGTCATAGATGCATTACCATAGGCACACTGTCATAGATGCATTACCATAGGCACAATGTCATAGATGCATTACCATAGGCACACACTGTCATAGATGCATTACCATAGGCACACTGTCATAGATACATTACCATAGGCACAATGTCATAGATACATTACCATAGGTACACTATCATAGACGCATTACCATAGGCACACTATCATAGATACATTATCATAGGCACAATGTCATAGATACATTACCATAGGCACACTATCATAGATAAATTATCATAGGCACACTGTCATAGATAAGTTACCATAGGCACAGTCATAGATGCATTACCATTGGCACACTGTCATAGATGCATTAGCATAGGCACACTGTCATAGATGCATTAGCATAGGCACACTGTCATAGATACATTACCATAGGCACACTGTCATAGATGCATTACCATAGGCACACTGTCATAGATGCATTACCATATGCACAGTCATAGATGCATTACCATAGGCACACTGTCATAGATGCATTAGCATAGGCACACTGTCATAGATACATTACCATAGGCACCCTATCATAGACGCATTACCATAGGCACACTATAATAGATACATTATCATAGGCACACTGTTATAGACGCATTACCATAGGCACACTGTGATAGGCTTATTACCATACGCACTCTACCATAGATGCATTACCATAGGCACACAGTCATTGGTTCATTGTCATAGATACACTGCCATAGGCTCATTACCATATGCAGTCTACCATAGTCTTATTACCAAAAGCACACTGACATAGGCTCATTGCCATAAAATCACTGTCACAGTGTCCATATCATATTATCATTACCATAAGCACGCTGTCATATTCGCATTGCCATAAGCACACTGTCATATAGTCTGATTAAAATAAAACTCATTAAGGACAAAACTAAAGGCTGGAGCCATTAAAAAGGGAATATACCTTTACTCTTGTCCATAATGAGTTTTATTGGTACACTGTCCTAAGCCAGAACAACTAATTGTAGTATATGGTGCTCAGCGTGTTCCAAACCCAAGAGTTCTACAGGGGTTTGTATGCTGGAGATACCAACCGATGTTGTAGAGCTAATGTACATTTGTGCGGAATTGTGTGCATGTTTCTTTCATCTATGGCTCAGAATATGATCACATATAAAAAATAAAAATATCATATATTGTTTTAGGAAAACCATGAATTTCTGTGATACGGTAAATAAATTTAAAGATAACAGAAGAGTTAAATGTCCTTTATTCGTCCATGCCGAAATAAACCAATAACAGCGATTTTGATGTCCAAAAGAAAGGTTGAAATATAATTCTGCTTTGGGACAATGATAAACCATTTAAAGTCACCATTTTTCAACTATTAAAACAAGAAACAACTGTTGTATAGTGTGTAAAATTGTAAAATAATTATTGCTATGATTTCAGTCTTTTAAAACATTTTCTGCTGATTTGCATTAGTGAAAACAAGGAAAACGTGTCTTTGATATTGTGAAAATTTGTTTAGGAACATCTACAATTATCTTTGTTAACATTTTTGCTTGCAAAGTAACATTTTTCCATTTCCATTTTACACATATGAATATCAATCGCCAGAACGCAGCAATATTCAAACAGTATTTACATCCATTTCACATGCAGAATGATTCTATAGGGTATAAAGAAAGCCTAGAAGACATGATCTGATACACAGGTACGAGAAATATGCCACGATTAACAGCTGAAGGGAGAGAAAGAGCCATTGGGATGGTGCCGACATACAAAGCTGTTGTCAACGCTCCAGGGCTCCAGACAGACAGAGCACCGTAGACAGACCAAGAAGTGGACGTCCACGCATCACAACGCCAGCTGAAGATAGGTACCTCCGTCATAAAGGAAGGAGGGTAACGTTTCTTTTGGCGTTTAGTGTTTGTCTGACAGGTTTACAGGTCTTCCACATTTATGTATTCCTCTCTTGTTTCCTCCACAACATTTGTCTTTGTGTTCTTCACTTGACCATCTGTTAAATGAAATACACATTTAGGGTATTCTAGGCAATCGGAAGTTGGTATGATACATCGTACTGAGCACAAGGAGAGACAGCCTGTCGTCATTGAACGAATCCGTCATAATGGAGATTATTGCAGAATACACGATGGCGAGTTACAAAATATACTGAAAGAAACAAATAAAGGATCACAAGAAAATTCAAGTGTTCCTTTATCAATTTCCAGTTTTCACCACTAGCTTTGAATATCACAGTAGTGATGAAAACTGGAAAATAATAAAGGAACACTTGCATTTTCCTGTGATCCTTATTTGGTTTCTCTCAGTATATTTCCTCAAGTGAATCCAAATTTGGAACAGCAGCACGTTTAACCGACAGTCCGTTTTGAACAGATACACAGGCACCGCTGACCTAACTGTCGAGGACGCTGCAGATGTATGTGTCGCGTCCTTGTGGGGTACAAGGTTCCTGTGATCGTGTGTCGAATCCAAGTTTCTCTGGTTCTGATCTCTGGGTTTGTCAGCACCAAATATGTCCCCATAACTTGGTTTAGTGTTTAGGGCCTGCCTCACTTCGGGATTTTCTCTTGCAAAAAGGAGACACGCCCTGAACTAAGAGATTTTAGTCAGACAAACTAGCTCATCCACGAACATGACATATGGAGCAAATAGGAATCAGACTGTGATTATTAGGATTAACACTGTCAGACGATTTCAGAATTCAAAGAGTTAACCTGAGTGTGATGGTGAAAACTATTCTGAACCTTTAATAAGTTTTGCTGTGTCCTCTGACATAACACCTTGCGATGATGTTGTAGAATTAGCGAGGAAACACCACCGGTACTTTAATCTCAAGAAATTAAACCAACAATGGTGATCTAAATAGGATGTGGTAAAAGAACCTCACCTGTGATCTCGTAATCACTGTCTGAAGACCATTCTGATGAGTCGTCGTCACCGACATAGATGTTGTTCTCCACTACAGAGAAAAGTGCTGGATGTTCACTCTATGTTTAATTCACATTGACAAGATTAGAACTTCATGTCGCATGTGCGCAAATACTGAACATTTGATGAAAAGTAGCATAAATGTCAGAAACCATTTGAGTTCACAGTCAAATGAAGTGTCACCCACGTGATTGTCCTTTTCCACTGGAAGACCAAATTATACATTTACTCTGTTGTTTACATTGAGACAATGTTTACATCACAAAGACAAGCAGTAAAGCTACGTGTAGGTCGTATATGTGAAATCCTCAGTGACTACGTTAATTATATGCTTGGTTTGAACCATTTGATCCAAAGTAGCAGATATCAGAAACCTACCAGTTACTTTGTCAGGGTCATCACTGTGGTCTTGCAGCACCGGGCTTCTAGACCATCACAAACATGAACATAAACATTGGACAGGCTGGTTTAGCAGACACTCGATTGTATCATAATATCGAATGGCTTTAAAAAATATGTTGTATGAATTTGGTCACAGTTTTGATTGACCTGTGCATGTGGCCATAACGGAAACTATTGACACTCTGTCCATGGACATGTAGGAAATATAAACATATATAAAGATATGAACACGGCCTTCATTCAAACCATTGAGATTATTGCTTTAAGCAGATTAAATTAATGATATTGCAAGCAGTTTTAACATCACAGAATCTAATTCCTGAAGTGACTTTGTAAGTGGTTACTTACTCGCTGTTGCTGTGGGTATGAATGGATGCGTTCCTGTCACAGGTTCCAGTATGTTCTGTGTTGCCTGTAAAAGGATGAAAATGGTTCAGGAATTGCTGTGGCCGGCCATATTGTGAACATATCAATATATACATCGCATGTTAAATCACAGATTATATCGTGAGAATGATTGTGACCAGTTTACCTTTCTTGAACGGACTCGATCTCTTTCTTGTAAGTACACACAGAACGCTGACGACACTAACAACAGCAGCTGCTCCTCCAACAGCAATGTAGACGACATGCAAGACATCTGCAGAACAGATTGGCAACAGCAATAAAATGAAACAAAAACTGAAACCAGTTGTTTGGCAAGCAGCAACTTCAATAACATCATCGTTGCATCTGTTACGGTATTGGGAGCTTCCCACTCAACTATCTTAGTAGAAGCGACAAAGCCCTTTCCACACCAATAAGAAATCTATGCTAAAAGCAGAGTTGACTAGAGCAGGTGTTTGTTTGTTTGTTTATTTTTTATTTGTTTATTTGTTTATTGCCCCATTCAGCAATATTTGCAGCTGTGTGACAGCATGTGTATGAATCACTATGTCTCACCGGGAACCGTAGTCGAAGCAGTGGATGCTGTTGTTGGGTGCGCTGACGCCGGTGGTGACGATATCATTAGTGTTGTTGGTATATGTGGAATTTGTACATCTGGAAAACCATATTTTGGTAATGTTTTGGTAAATTATACATCGTTTAGTACCATTGTGACATACGTGGCATTTATCTTAACTCACTCTTGTTCACATTAGGTCATTCGCATATGCATTATGAACATACTTGGTATAGTTGTCCTAGCTGCATGAGTGTATAGTAGCTATGATTGTGTTTAGATGTAACCACTTGATCTAAGCAACACGTTCACGTCATTCTGTGGCACTGGCAATAGAGGCCTGGTGTGCAGATGGAAGCATGTGTGTACTGACCACGTTTTGATGAAAATGTTGGGTACATGTACATGGTTACTCTTAAACAGCAATCGTATAGGCCTTGAAATGTGCATGCCAATGTAAGCATTTAAGAGTGAGTGAGTTTAGTTTTACGCCGTTTTTAGCAATATTCCAGCAATTTCACGGCAGGGGACACCAGAAATGGGATTCACACATTGTACCCATGTGGAGCAATTATGAAACCTGTGGGGTTTTACAAATAGAATATCGGATTATTAATATATTCTTAGATTTTGTTAAGCCTATGCTGTCACACATCTGTTGCCATGGCAACTGTTCATGGCGAAGTACATCAGTTCCAGCTTACCAATGGTTATGAAGTTGCTCATGAAGTTGTTCTTCTGTATGCCCACACAACCACATGACCAGCTTGTTCCATTATCTATGTCCGACTTGATCCTGAGCGTCACATTGTGATGTGTTGCATTACAGCTCACACTAACACGGCCATTATTAACCTCATAGAGACTTGCAGTACTAGGGTCCGTTATGGTTACGCCACAATGGTTGTTGGATAAATGACGTGTTTCCAACACAGCTCTACTTGTCCAGTACCACGTTACACCGGCATTGTGGCCACCGGTATTACACTCTAGGGTGTACGTGTGTCCGTCCAGTGCCATCTCAGGAAATGTTCTCAAATGTGGCGCACCTTGAAAAACAGTTACTTGATTGACATCATAAACAGAAGATCTCTCATTATCATGCACACAGAAACCTCACTTATTCTACCAACTTCTCTTTAGAGAATATAATTTGATGAAAACAACGGCCATTTGAAACAGTTCGAATGTCAACCTGTATGGATTGGCCTTTTTTGTTGCATTGCATGGAGGCATTGTATGCGGTGAATTATATCATTTAGTAAGGGGAAATAACTTATGTGTATAGGACATTTGCACAGTAGTACAGACAGATACTATCATCACTGTCTGAAATATTGGTACAACAGCCTCTCTCTCTCGTTAAATTTTAACTCACTAACTCTCTCTCTCTCTCTCTATCTCTCTCTCTCAATATCTTCTAGAATACGGGATAACATCTCTATATTTACAGCAGAAGCAAACGCCATCTTAACAGCTCTTAAAAATATTCAAAGACATCCTAAACATAAACTATATATAATCTTTTCTGACTCTCTTTCTTGCCTTCAGGCTATTAAAAATCTATGCTGCAAACATCCACTTTTAATTGAAATAATCGAATTATATAATGATCTTGCTACTGGCCAATGCGACATCGTCTTCTGTTGGTTACCCAGCCATGTTGGCATTTCTGGGAACACAATGGACCGATCTTGCTGCCAAGGCAGCACTACAACAAATCTGTGACACCACTTCTTATCCCATACTCTGATAACAAAGCTATCATTAGAACCTACATCAGTGATCTGATGCAGAAGAAGTGGAATACCCAGGTAGGTATAAATAAATTACATGAAATAAAACCTTATATTGGTTACACCTACTTAGGTTGTCAATCCAGATTTGAAGAGGTCATTATGCGACGATGTCGCATTGGCCACACTAGATTTACTCACGACTATTTACTGAAAGGCGAAGATCCTCCGTTTTGCATCCCTTGTGATGATAGAATCACAGTCAAGCATGTCCTGCTTGATTGTGTTGAATATTCCATCACAAGGGATAAGTATTTCAATGTCAAAACATTGAAGGATCTTTTTTTTATAATGTTAATTATCATTTAATAGTTGATTTTTTAAAAGAATTAGATTTGTTGACTGACCTGTAAATAGCTGAATATTTTATTGTTGGTAGTTTAGATTAGTAACTTCGATTGTTAGTGGCTGTACCCTCAAAGGGGATTGAAGTAGCGTAAAATTATTGTCCTCCTGAGAGGGTACGTATGTCCCAACACATTTAAAGTAAATTTAAACTTGCCACCTTTTTAATCGTAGAATATGTCATTTCTCTCTCTCTCTCTCTCTCTCTCTCTCTCTCTCTCTCTCTCTCTCTCTCTCTCTCACACACACACACACCCTGACACAAATCAGAACATCAACATTGCACCACTGGTATATACTCACCACATATGCATCCGACACACACACACGCATCCTGACACAAATAAGAACATAAACAAGTAGCACTGGTATATACTCACCACATGTGCATTCCCCCCCCCACACACACACACACACACATACACATACACACACACATCCTGACACAAATCAGAACATTACCATGTACCACTGGTATATACTCACCAAATGTGCATCCGACACACACACATCCTGACACGAACCAGTTAAAGAAATGTGGGAAATTTATTAGAACGGTGGTTTGTGTCTGCCTTGTCTCATCACCACTCTGCAGCTACATAGTCCTGGAGTATCAGTGTCAATAACTCGCTCTGCATGACACTGATTACTATATATAATCCACGCTTTATCCCGCACGATAACATTGTTGCCACTAATCTGCATATTCAACTCCTCAGGAAAACTACATTTTAACCTGACGTTTACGAATACACGTCCCGTGTGAATTTAGTTCACTTTGACAAAATGGAGGCGTGTATGAAATGACGTACGACCTTTATTTCCCATTTGTCGGCAGTCAGATCATTCCCGACCATGTGTCAAACATGCAACCGGGAAGTGTTTATAAACCAAGATTACACAGCCAATAGATTCAGCCAATGTTACATGTACATGCCGTTGTGTTGTTATCAGTCACTAGTCCTCCTACGCGGGCCGCATAAAGAACACACAGGCGCACAATTTGTTGTTGAGGTGCAAATGGTGACAAATCTCAGGTATAGGGATCATGTTCATGAGTTATATCCGGTGTGCATGACAAATACACGTATTTGCATGCTACCATCAAACCTGCATCTTCCATGAACAGAACATATTCCATGAGGAATACATCTACCATCAACCTTACATCTACCATGAACAATACATCTACCATGAACAACACATCTACCATGAACAATACATCTACCATGAACAATACATCTAACATGAACAATACATCTACCATGAACAATACATCTACCATGAACAATACATCTAACATGAACAATACATCTAACATGAACAATACATCTACCATGAACAATACATCTACCATGAACAATACAATCTAACATGAATAATACATCTACCATGAACAATACATCTACAATGAACAATATATCTACCATGAACAATATATCTACCATGAACTATACATCTAACATGAACAACACATCTACCATGAACAATACATCTACCATCAATCTTACACCTACCATGAACAATACATGTACTATGAACAATACATCTAACATCTAACACTTTGAGCAATTTTCTGGTCTCGATAACAGATACTTGTTTTGTTAGTTTACCTGTGTTAGATCAACATTACCATACTCAGCCATCAAGTTCAAATGTCAACTTGGAATTCTAGTTATCTCCTCAGCACAATGGAGCAAAATGGAGAGTTTTGTCTTTTGAATCAAGGGGTCTGGTGAAGGTCTGTACCGTGATGTAGTGACTTGTGTCTCCGTTTTGCAGAAAGCTGCATTCCTCGACCGCTCTGACTTAGGTTAAAGTGACATAGCTTGAGCTGTCACTCTCCGTCCAATCCCCAGTGTTGACGTATGGCTCCTGTATTGTGAATGCATCATACTGGTGCCCCATGTTCTCGTAGTTCTTTGAAGTACTGTATCCGTGAGGTGCGTTAATGTCTGCTGAAAATACAGCCGTGAAAACATCAGTGGTGTTGCAAAAGGAGACCGGTAGTGTTGTGAGAGGAGACCGGTAGTGTTATGAGAGGAGACCGGTAGTGTTGTGGGAGGGGACCCGTAGTGTTGTGAGAGGAGACCGGTAGTGTTGTGAGAGGAGACCGGTAGTGTTGTAAGATGAGACCGGTAGTGTTGTGAGAGGAGACCGGTAGTGTTATGAGAGGAGACCGGTAGTGTTGTGAGAGGAGACCGGTAGTGTTATGAGAAGGGACCGGTAGTGTTGTCAGAGGAGACCAGAAGTGTTGTGAGAGGAGACCGGTAGTGTTGTGAAAGGAGAACCCGCAGTGTTGTAAGAGGAGACCGGTATTGTTATGAGAGGAGACCGGTAGTGTTGTGAGAGGAGACCGGTATTGTTATAAGAGGAGACCGGTAGTGTTATGAGAGGAGACCGGTAGTGTTATGAGAGGAGACCGGTAGTGTTATGAGAGGAAACCGGTAGTGTTGTGAGAGGAGACCGGTAGTGTTATGAGAAGAGACCGGTAGTGTTGTGAGAGGAGACCGTAGTGTGTTGAGAGGAGACCGGTAGTGTTATGAGTGTTGTGAGGGTAGGCTGGTGGTGTTGGGGGGAGGCTGCTGGTGTTATGGGGGGAGGATGGTGGTGTTATGATGGTAGGCTGGTGGTGTTGTGAGAGGAGGCTGGTATTCTTATGAGAGGAGACCGGTAGTGTTGTGAGAGGAGACCGGTTGTGTTGTGAGAGGAGACCGGTAGTGTTATAAGAGGAGACCGGTAGTGTTATAAGAGGAGACCGGTAGTGAGAGGAAACCGGTATTGTTATGAGAGGAGACCGGTAGTGTTATGAGAGGAGACCGGTAGTGTTATGAGAGGAAACCGGTAGTGTTGTGAGAGGAGACCGGTTGTGTTATGAGAGGAAACCGGTAGTGTTGTGAGAGGAGATCGGTAGTGTTATGAGAAGCGATCGGTAGTGTTGTGAGGGTAGGCTGGTGGTGTTATGAGGGTAGGCTGATGGTGTTGTGGGGGGAGGCTGCTGGTGTTATGGGGGGAGGATGGTGGTGTTATGATGGTAGGCTGGTGGTGTTGTGAGAGGAGGCCGGTAGTGTTATGAGGGTAGGCTGATGATGTTATGAGGGTAGGCCGCGGGTGAGAGGAGGCTGATGGTGTTGTGAGGGTAGGCTGGATGCGTATTTAAGGGAGACTGCTGGTGTTGTGGGGGGAGCATGGTGGTGTTGTGGGGGGAGTCTGCTGGTGTTTTGGGGGAGGCTGCTGGTGTTGTAGGGTGAGGCTGCTGGTGTTGTGGGGTGAGGCTGGTGTTGTTGTGGGTGAGGCTGCTGGTGTTGTGGGGTGAGGCTTGTGGTGTTGTGGGGGGAGGCTGGTGGTGTGGTAGGGTGAGGCTGGTGGTGTTGTAGGGTGAGGCTGGTGGTGTTGTGGGGGGAGGCTGGTGGTGTTGTGATATTCCTTATAGGTCTGAACGCAAACCCGCACTAGAACCTTTAGTTTCTGCTAAGGTGTAATCCGAAATATTACATATACCGTGTCTTATTTCGATCAAGTGATTGTGCTGCCATACTTTCAACAGAATGTTCAAACTATTTGCCATTGGAGGGAATAACAGAAACCTCCGTAAACAGAATTTCTCTTAAGAACCTGACCTGTGTCCTCGTGATCTTTGTCTGAAGACCATTCTGTTGAGTCAGAGTCAAAGGAAGTGTCATCCACGTGGTTGTCATTTTCCACTGGAAGACCAAATTAGGCATTTACTCTGTTGTTTACATTGAGACAATGTTTACGTCAAAAAGACAAGCAGTAAAGCTACGTGCAGTGGTATATGTGAAATCCTCAGTGATTAAACTAATTATACGAATGTTTTTAACCATTTGATCCAAAGTAGAAGATATGTTAGTAACCTACCAGTTACTTTGTCAGGGTCACTGTGGTCTTGCAGCACCGGGCTTCTAGACGATCACAAACATGAACATAAACATTGGAAAGGCTGTTTTAGCAGACAATCGATTGTATCATAATATCGAATGGCTTTAAAAAATATGTTGTATGAGTTTGGTCACAGTGTTGATTGACCTGTGCATGTGGTCATTACGGAAACTATTGACACTCCGTCCATGGACATGTAGGAAATATAAACATATATAAAGATATGAACACGGCCTTCATTCAAACCATTGAGATAATTACTTCCAACAGATTCAATTAATGATATTACAAGCAGTTTAAATATGGCAGAATCTAATTCCTGAAGTATCTTTGTAAGTGGTTACTTACTCGCTGTTGCTGTGGGTATGAATGGATGCGTTCCTGTCACAGGTTCCAGTATGTTCTGTGTTGCCTGTAAAAGGATGAAAATGGTTCAGGAATTGCTGTGGCCGGCTATATTGTGAACATATCAATATATACATCGCATGTTAAATCACAGATGATATCGTGAGAATGATTGTGACCAGTTTACCTTTCTTGAACGGACACCATTCCTTTCTTGTCAGTACACACAGAACGCTGACGACACTAACAACAGCAGCTGCTACTCCAACAGCAATGTAGACGACATGCAAGACATCTGCAACACCAATATGAATAAACGACCAGCAACTACAACGTGGGAGATTCATCGACGTTGTGTATTCCCTGAAACTGTTTATATTGTTATGAGGCAGTGATATAATAATAATAATGTAATAATGTGTCCATGTATATAGCCCCAAACTCCACACTAGGTATGCTCATGCTCATAACAATCAAGGCACAGCACATTATAACCCCGGATAACCCAAGCTGCCTTTTAGGAGCTAGAAGGTTATAGTCATATGACTTTTTCCACCGGGTACCCATTTTCCTGCTGGGTGAACAGAGACAATTTTGAACAAATTCACTTGCCTAAGGTGAGACCACATGTGTTTCGTTGTGGGGCAGGACTCAAGTCCTAAAAACTCTCAGGAGTCAAGCTGCCAAACACGGTCACCCATTCAAGGACTCTCCGAGCTCGACGCTGCTTAACTTCACTGATTTGTGACCTGAGCTTTGAGCACAGGACCACAGGACAATGTATCAACAGTTATGCATTGTACCTTTCGTTTCAGTAAACGGCAGTGATGGGCCATATGTCAAAGCAGCAGGGAACGCAAAATTTGTATCACGGTAGAGCTGGTATATGTGAGTTTGGCTTGATGTGAGGTACAATCCGGTACAAGGTCGAGGTCAAGATTACTTCCCTACTACAGCGACCCGTAGCTACTGGTCTTGACTGTGACCAGTTTGTTAGTGTTAGCTAGCCCTCTGAGATTCCATGAATATATATTTACATCGTGCATGAGCTTAAGTGATAAGTGATATCTCACCTGGAGCTGTCGTCGAAGTTGTTGTTGATGCTGATGGAGAAGTTGTTCGTGGTGACAATTGTGTTGTTGTTACAGAAGCTGTCGATGGATGGTTCAGATCTGAAAACGATATGATTGTTCATAATGATTAAGTACATCACCTGTCGGTGGTACAATTCCGGTGGTACAGGAGGCAGTATTACTGGACATCCAACACCTGACATGCGGGAAACATATGACAAGTCATTTATACATATCATCATCATCAAGTCTGGACCAGACAATCCAGTGATCATCATCATCATCATGAATACATTTATATAGCGCTAATTCCAGTCCAAAAGTACTGCTCAGTAGTGCTCTCCGAACAACTCAACAATGAAAAGTTAGACACTGTATGTTTTCTTAAAAAGGTATGTCTTCAGTTTAGATTTGAAAATATTCAGGTTGTTTATTGTCCTTAACTCCAGTGGAAGTTAAGCCTAACCGGACGGTCTTATCTTTGTTTAGCACTCACATTCAGCACTATTCCAGCTCTATGGCGTCTGTTTCGCAATAGTTCGGCCTGGACCAGACAATCCAGTGATTTGCATCATACGTACCTGTCTACGCAGTTGGGATACGGTGGCATGCACCACTGTGTGGCCTCATGACCAACACAGGCTACTGGCGTGGAACTGTTTTACCGGGAATCCCCGGGGCTCCATGACTTTATTATATATACTTACTATCTCCTTTGTACGGGTAACTATCTTTTTTCCTACCACTTACAATAGTCCTTCTATGACTTGCTGTCTTGTTCGTTTGACTTACCCTTTCGCCCTTATGACTTACTATATCGCCCTTGTGACTTACCATCTCGTTTCCATGACATCTCACAAGGACTGGGGGAGGTTTTACACAAAACTTGTGAGGACCTAAACCACATTACGTTGCAGAACATCCAGGATGTCAAAGAGTTACTTTTTATTAAGTCTCGAGGACAAAATTATGTTTTTTCCTGCCGCTTAGGCAGTATTGTGTAACAAAATCCCAGGCCCCTAGCAATATAGAATTATCGAAACAAATACACAATTACATAGTTACGTCTTCCACAGGACCAAGAATCTCTGTAACGGATTACATACGTCTTCCCCAAGACCAAGAATATCTCTTACATACTACATACGTCTTCCACAAGACCAAGAATCTATGTTACATACTACATACGTCTTCCACAAGACCAAGAATTTCTGTAACGGATTACATACGTCTTCCCCAAAACCTCGAATCTAAGTTACAGGTTACCTATGTCTTCCCAAAGACCAAGAATCTATGTAACAGACTACACACGTCCTCCCCAAGACCAAAACTCTGTAACAGACTACATACTTATTCCCAAAGACCATGAATCTCTGTTACAGACTACATACGTCTTCCTAAAGACGTAACATATTTTTCGAAATATATAGAAATGCAGCAGAATTACTGCAGTTCTAGCGGTGTAGTTATTGCAAATACAAAAGACTCCAAGGGCGATTCGCTCTAATGCTGGTTCACAGCCACGAAGTGGAACCATTTGCTATGTGTTAACTGGTCACTGAGCCTTCAGACTAATAGCTGTTCACCTATTGTTATGGTGTTGCTGGTGTCTTTAGTTACAGCATTCCTACACCACCACACAGAGCCACGGTCGACGACGGAGTGTATTCTGAGAGACACATTATGTTTGGTGAGACTACAGGTCACAGTGACACGCCCCGACACACGAGTGTTGTAACCGACATTGTTCAAATTGTCTGCTATACACCGAGCGTCTGATATGAAACGTGATGTTATGACACGGTCATGTTTCCAGAACCAGTCAAGGGCTCGTGCATTGGTTCTGCTGCTGCATATCAGAGTGTAAGAGTTCCCCTCCGTTGGCCTTTCTGGAAACGTGGATAACTGGAGCGAACCTGTTCAAAACAAAACATCTTCTGGTAACATGATACCTATTAAAAAAGCAAATAGAGTTGACAGGCCGCCAACAGGAATATCTTCATCAATATGTTCACTTTTAGCTGTATTCGAGCTGTAATAGGTTGTATTTATGAGTGACATCGTATATTCAGACACAGCCCCACAGGTACCCGCTGTTGCCCTTCTTAATGATCCACCGGACCACCCGTAATTAAACCCAGATCTTCCATAACATAATAGCGCCTGGAAACATGGGAGACCCTGGTAAAGTAAGAGGGTATATGTGCTGTGACATAGCTTTGAATGTATGTCCAGGTATTAAAACAAAACAAGTAAACTATATGAACAAAGCATGACAGATACTCACCGTCAGTGTACCCAGCAGTACTCAACATCAACCAGACAAACAGGAAAGGGTAATCCATTGGATCCACAGTTGCTAGCTGGGTATTTCAACAGTCAATAATATGTGGTCCTACACCCAACCAAGGAAGTTGTGACTAACACAGGCAACTGACGTGGAACTGTTTTACCTAGCGTAAACAATTGAGTGAATGATTGAGAGTGACTTGTGGGTTTTTCAATATTGTTATAGTCCAGACGTCATCCACGTCAGCAGGTCCCGCGGGGGATGCATTAGTGCAAAACAAACCAATGCATATTATCGGAAGCATCTTGGATTTGAAACCCATTCTAAGCGGATCTCGGTACGTAAGGGAGACAACTATTTCTACGCAACAGAAATAGAGTGATATGCGCGCTATACATCATTGTACATAAATGAACTTTGCTACCCGGAAAAGTTGCATTTCGTGTATTCATCGAACGCTCACGCAAATCCATAAACGCGGCGGTTCAACATTGGCGTCAGTGGGTTAAATTCCTAACTTCATATCATAAATCTTGTTTAACACTGGTCTCGTGTGGAGCAAGGAAGACAGGCGTTTGACTTTGAGGGGCTGGTAACTCCTCACAGTCTGACTTGATTAATAATGTACACACTACTAGCCTCATATTGAGCGTTAGGGGAAGTTTCGGTATGTGTGGCTTGTGTCGAGTTGGAATAATCAACCTACTGCGACCAGGACATACGCTGAGGAAAATGTTGGACACCTATTATTACTTGATATGTACATTTATCATACAATGGATAACCAACGGATATTTTCGGTATCGGGTCATATACGGATATCGCGGCAAATCTGAGAGGTCACATGCAGACTTTACAGACTACTTTCACAGTAGGCCTATAAACAAACATGACGTCACGTGTCGGCGATCGTGTCCGGATTGACGGCCGTGGTTACGGTACTGTCAGTGCTTTCATCCGAGACAATTCAAATTGTCGGGAAATCTCGTATCAAATCGCAGAAATTGCCCAGAAAGAGTTGCTTGATAATCCGCGTCCTCTTTCCGATGCCATGAGACTTGGTATTCCAAGTTCACAGGTGTCATCATTCTGGGGGCAGTTGACGATTAACGAAATTTCAGCCCTTATCATCCCCCAGCGTCCTACTCCTATAAAGGTGGTAGATGGTATATTGACGGAGGGGCAATATATCAGACCTGAGGAGGAGGAAGTCCTGTACTTCTTGCAACAGTTTGTGAGGGGACTGGATCAGGAAGACCTCATGTCCTTCCTGCAGTTTGTTACAGCAGCAATTAATCCACGTTGGGGGAATCAAGGTATCATTTACAAAACTGACAGAAGAACCATTGTACACACCTGCTCAAATCTCATCGAAATTAGAGTGCTGTATTCCTCTTTTCAAGAGTTCCGTCGTGAAATGACACAGTATTTGAGGAACGAGTTGGTGTTCCAAGTTTCAATTATGTAAGCTGAGCAGCAGGTGGATATGACATGTTCAGTTTGAGAAATTGGAATGTTAAGCTGAATTAACGTCTGCCTGAAATTAGATACAATTGGGGAGTTGTCGAGTTCAAGTTGAATAACTATTATATCATACTTCAATATTCAAGATACCTAAATCTTTTCAAAATGTGCCACCAATACCATCTTGGAAAGAGAGTTATGGTAAGTATACTTTCATGCACAGTAATGTTGTGAACAAAACAATATCTTGCACCCCTGGCATTTGTCCATCAAGATCAGAACCGAGAATTTACCAAGTGATACATGATATAATTAGGAGATAAACATACTGTGTCGGAAAATCAGAGGTATATAGCGAAATTATAATAGCTCTAAATTTGATTTAAAGCCTAACCGCGTTATTGAGATTTTCAAAAAAATATTTACTGTGTTGAAAAAACAGTATATAATGTGATTATATACCTCTGAATGACTTTAATAAACCAATCACAATCCAGCATTTACTGATGTCATGGTAGAATACGTAGTACAACGTCAGTGGGAAGCTACCCTTGGTCGAATAATCAGAAGTATGCCCCGTAGGATTCATGCACGCCGGGCAAATTGGTGGTTTCGTCCGGTATTAGTGATGTTGGCTCAAATATGCAAATTTTGATTTTTATCCGCAAACCTTTTAAGGACCTTGTGCACCACCGTCTCTTCACACCAACAATAAGAACTCATCAGGTCTGATCTCCTACTCTCCAGATAGTCAAAGATAATGATAAAGCATTATGGATATAACATTCGGGCTTCTTAAAGACAAAGTAGTCCCAAGGGCAGTTAGTTTCACAAGCATCCTCGGACACTCCTTTGTAGCTCCGTAAAGTGTTTTTGAAAAGCTATCAGACCTTTCGCAAATATTAGTTACTGCGTATAGCTACGCAGAAATGTTTTCGCGTTGTGCATGTATTTATAAGCATCGACTTCAGTATGTATTTGCGTGCATGCTACTCGGATTTATGTTGTTTGTACACTTGGGGTTTTTTCATTTCCAGATATCTCCAGTTCAATTCAACATATCTTCAATTTAATTCAAGATATCTTTAAAACAATTTAAGATGTCAGTAATTTCTCAATACATCTACATATGTACATATATTTAATTCATTTCAAGATATCTCTAATTCATTTCAAGATATCTCTAACTCATTTCAAGATATCAGCAACTGTTTTTAACATATTTATTAGTATGCTTCAACACATCCTTAATTCATTTCGCGATGTTATGTATTTCATTGGAGATATCTATAATTATTTCTATTCGAGATATCTTCAATTCAAGATATATTCAATTCAATTCACGATTTCTCTATTTTCATTCAAGATATGTTTAAAACAAATTAAAACATCAGTATTTCTTAATAAATGTGAAACGGCTCGCAATACGAATCCTCAAACTGTCTCAATACCGGTGAAGTATTGGCCCATAGCAACCAGGGCACCTTTAGTTGTCTCTTGATATAATTCATGGGAACTTTAAACATAAATAAAACTTCCATTGACCTTTTTGGGTTTTTCGAAAAGTAGGTTTTGTTTCGCGGTGATGTGATGCAGGGTTGCCCTAAGTAGCTCATAGCCTATATTACAATCCAGGACGTCCCATCTCATCATATAAACAAACCACGTGACAGAGGGCTGTACACGCCGCTGTTCCTGCTGCACGAAGCCCTGTAGTGACAGGCGTCAGCGGTGTTGTGTAACCATGTTTAAACATCAGTGAAGTCCACCTTCAACCTTGACATGGAGTTGAATAACCCCTTCAAGAGTGGACACATTCCTACACAACCAAGACGCATACACACATAACAATTACTGTCATCCTGTCAGAGATGTAGTAAAATATGCCAAAAAGTTATGCCTCTGGCTATTGTCATAACAATTTGAAATGTAGCCATGCAATATTTCATATATCATACGATACATCACTGAGAGGAAGACGGGATATCTTTATGTCACTAGCTCATCATTCATGTGAAATACCATCTCACAAAATGTCCAGCAGACCTAAGGTCTGGTTCAACGTATTGTGGCGGGCTGAACAACAGTTGGGGATTAACCTAGTTTAACCTATCCTGAAGGGCCGTACAACAGTCGGGGGTTGATCTAGTTCAACCTATTGTGACGGGCTGCACAACAGTCGTTGATTAACCTAGTTCAACCTATCCTGAAGGGCTGCACAACAGTCGGGGGTTAACCTACTTCAACCCTTCCTGAAGGGCTGCACAACGGTCGGGGGTTGATCTAGTTCAACCTATTTTGACGGGCTGCACAACAGTCTGGGGATTAACCTAGTTCAACCTATCCAAAGGGCTGCACAACAGTCGGGGATTGACCAAGTTCAACCAATTCTGAAGGGCTGCACAACTGTCAGGGGATTGATCTAGTTCAACCTATTCTGAAGATCTGCACAACACTCAGGAGTTGGCCTAGTTCAACCTGTTCTAAAGGGCTGCACAACACTCAGGGGTTGACCTATTTCAACCTATTCTAAAGGGCTGCACAACAGTCAGGGGATTGATCTAGTTCAACCTATTCTGAAGGGCTGCACAACAGTCAGGGGTTGACCAAGGTCAACCTATTCTGAAGGGCTGCACAACAGTCAGGGGTTGACCAAGGTCAACCTATTCTGAAGGGCTGCACAACAGTCAGGGGTTGACCAAGGTCCAAGGACCAAGGTCAACCTACTAGTATTCTGAAGGGCTGCACAACAGTCAGGGGTTGACCTATTTCAACCTATTCTGAAGGGCTGCACAACAGTCAGGGGTTGACCTATTTCAACCTATTCTGAAGGGCTGCACAACAGTCAGGGGTTGACCTATTTCAACCTATTCTGAAGGGCTGCACAACAGTCAGGGGTTGACCTAGTTGAGCCTATCCTGAAGGGCTGCACAACAGTCAGGGGTTGACCTCGCTCAGCCTCTTCACAAGCGATAACATCATCTTCTGTCCCTGCTGGTAGTCATACCTCCAACACGTTTAAGTCAAAGCGGGTGGTCGAACCCAGGTATGTGTCAGACCATGGTTCAGAATAAAGCCGGATGTGTCGATGGTCAAGGGTAACCGGTCAAGGCTCGATTATCAGCCGACCGGCATTATAAAACATGTTGCAGGCTCGGGGCTTAAATAACATTCATTCAAATGCATTGTAAAGCTCGAACATGTTATCACAATGCGGTTCAGTGATTTTTTGGTTTTTAGCCTGAAAAGATTTTTTTGGGTCCACAAACACTCCATGTTGAAAAGTGTCAACTGACATTCAGATTAACGTTTTCTGATATGAGGTCTCCTGTACGAAAGTTGTGAAACCTATGAATATTCATTATTCCCAATAAATCAACATTCATTATCCTCAGTGAATCAATAATAATGTGGCCTGAATTACATACATCTTGTGTATGATCAGTCTGCACTTTGTCGTGTGACATCAGACCCAAATATTCACTGATAGAAGCAGCATGTGTAGATGTTCCGGCGCGATAATGAAGTTTTGGGCTTTTCTTGTCTCAAAACCCTGACATTGACAAATTAGCCTTTTCTAAATCTATCACATATTGAGTCCCCAATACAGTATATCCTTACAGTATCAGGTAAACCGGATTGAGATATCAGG